GAGTTTTGTTGGTAAAAACGTGCAGAAAAACGTGAAAATGAACCCTTCTAATGAGATAAAGCTCTTTTCTCTTCTTCTGCACAGTGGAAATCTCCTCCCTCCTTCGACTGTAAACTTCCTGACCCTCTGTGCTGCAGCAGCTCGGCTCATCTCTGCACCGACTCCCTCTGAGGAGAAAAATCGATGAGCTCGGGTCAAAACAGCCACTGAAAGGAGGCTTGGTAACGCACAGGATTCAACGAGCACCAAACCGTCTCTCAGCAGCGCTTCCTGGTGGGGTTTGATGTGCATCTATTTTTACCCAGCACACATCATCTTGTGAAATCAGCTCACACTCGTCTGATTCAGTTTGAGACGATAATCGGATTAAAACGAGTTAAARGCTGAAGGGAGAGGTGAAGTGAGTTTGATGGGAGACACAGACAGGAAACGCCTGATAAAGCCTTAACGTGAGGACAACGGTCCTCCTACTTCCACACCTCGCAGCACTCGTCCTGAGTGTGCAGCCGCTGAGGATCTCTGGCTCCTCGCCGGCCGCTGTTCGTGCTAAACTCAGGCTCCTTATCAGGTGTAAGATATGGGTTTGGTGTGGCTGAGGTCCTGTCTGTTCCCACACACACACCATCACAACATGAAACAATAAAAACAAAGAGGTGCACACACCTTCCTCATGGGAAAAAACATCAAGTTTGTTTCAGTCTGTGTCATCAGCAAAACATCMCACGAATCACAGGTTTTAAAGGGATACTTGCACATGTTGGCCTTCATGTGTCASTTCTACTAAAAGTTGTTGTTTGTGATGTCAAAACATRTCATTTTAAAAGTTTGTCTATGTTTATTGCATTTTACACATCAGCACATCACCATTGTGTTACGGACACAATGAATTCTGGGGATGWTGATAGGTTAAAGTTGATGCTAAAACAGAGTCGATGCAAAAATGCTAAAACACCTGACAATAAAGTTTTATATTGTATTATAATTCAGGTTCTACACAATCAATCAGTTGGAACAATCAACGGTGATGTTTAGTTTGTTAGCTCTGGATATATCTCCATAACGTTTGTTATGAATACAAATGTGGCGTTATACAGTTGTATATCTGTAATACATACACAGTGTTAGCGCTTGAGCTAATGCCTTAAATCGCCATATTTATATATATTAGCTTAGGTGCTAACTCTATATATAAACACACACACACACACACACACATATATANGTCTGCTACATTAACTTTGAGCTAGCCTTTAGCTGCTTTTAGCTTTAACAACATTTAGCTCTCAGCTTTATTGTATTTTTTTCAGTAAAATGTATTTTCTTTCTTTAAATTATTTTTTTTTTCTGGATGAATAAACATTCTGCCTTCAGCTGAACGATGCACTTCTTCGGCCGGCTGTGACTCACTGCTGCTCTGAGGTTTTAGCTGCAGGTGCACCAGTTAATGCGAAGCTAATGAAATTAGCTTTAAGAGATTTAAAAGGTTTCAGCTGACCTGCAGCTTTAATAGAATTTGTCCAAAACAGAAATGAACGGATTTAAATAAAACTGATCTAACGTGTGAAAGCAGCTTCGGTCTAAAATCAAAACATCTTCCTAGATAAAATCCAGCTTGTTTCTAAACCATCTCCAGAGGTGCTAACCTGCTGCTGGTTAACAGCTAACCTGCTGCTGGTTAACAGCTAACCTGCTGCTGGTTAACAGTTAACCTGCTGCTGGTTAACNACTAATATATACAGTTTGTACATATTGTATTACTAATACATAATGTGATGTTGGCTAACTCAGGAGCTAACGAGAAGCTAAAAGGCTAACTCTGACGTTCTCCTTCCATGAAGKAGCTCTGTTGTCCTCCATTAGTTTGAGGCTGTCACGTCTACATTTTTCTTTCTGTCAACTTGCTCATGGACAATATTTTACAACAGATTGAACAACATTAAATACGTGTATCAGCGTATTAAATGACAGAAAGCCCTCTCAGATGACGTGTTTCTAAATGATTGCAGCTCGCTGAGACTAAAACAGACTTTAAGTTTGGAAAGTCCCCCAGCAGCCGACCGTGGGAACGCAGCACATCAAAGTCAGCACCAGGATAAACCAATGAGCAGTTCAGATGTGACTCGTCTCTTCCACATTATTGGCAATTAGCTGCTGATAAGTGGCAGGAAAGGCAGCAGACAGAGTGAATGTCAGCCGAGGGTGAAACATCCCTGCAGACTCAACCGAACAAGAGATTTTTTTAATTCCTTTATTTCACCAGCTAAACCCACTGAGATCCAGATCTCATTTTCAAGAGGGACCCGGGCAGAATCTGTTCCAKCACATGGAACATGCAAAAGAAAGATATAGTTAAGGAATGGGCAGTAAAGCACGTTTTAAAAGAGACTTTAAATAAGTCAGAGCCAAGCCGAGTAGAGTTTTATAAATCAGTAGCATCAAGTAGCTGTATGTCTGCACGCTTAGAGGCCATTCAGCTTTACATACAACTCACAATGATGTGGAAGACGTCTGCAGCCTGTTACAAACCGTAAAGCAAGCAACAAAGTGCATGTTGTGACAGAAACACATCAGACAACATCTGGATCCAGGAAACTGATCAGGTTAACTAAAACCAAAAGAATCATTAGACAAACAGAAATGAGGTGTAGCTCTCTCCAGCGCTCACTGGGTGTGATACGTCATCAATGTTTAGGAGATTATTTTACAAATTTGTTATCAAGAGAGAATAAATCTTTAAAAAAAGTAAACAAAGAATAAAGCAGACCAGAGGTCAGAGGCTCTATTATAAAACAAATAAAAACAGCTTCTTTTCTCTGGAACATCTCATCCAGTTGAAAGATTAAATCAATGAAAGCACACCCAGCAGTGTTCAAGACTTGTTCTGACACAACTTACTATAACTGCATCTTTTTTCTAAATGATAATTAAATTATTTTAACTACAGGTGTGAGCAGGGAGAGCCCAGGAGGACGTCACACAGCAGCAGCTCAACTCTTCTGTAGGAAGATTTCAACCTTTACAAACCATACGAGACAAAACTAAACCTTTCTTCTGTAACTCTGTGAAGTCACCCGCCATCTTTCCTGCCGTGGTTTTACAGAGGTGACCTCATGAAGGAAAATAATGGAGTTTCATACTTTTCACTGGTTTTATTTATTTTTTCCATTAGGAATCACTTGCAACAACCAAAACAAGTTTTAATCCAGTATTTGTAAAACTGGGTTATGGACACATTTTAAAGATTATTGATCAGCTGTGGTGGCCATCTTGAATCCAATAATAAATTAGTTATAGCTGTTCATCCACTGTGGTCCTTCTGCCTGTGGAGGGCAACAGAGTCCACACGTCTTCAAATTTCACTTTGTTTAATTCGACGGGGGGTGAAAATGGGGAATTTTATAAGGAAAGAGGCATTTCCATGCTTTGGAAAGCCGATCCTCACAGATGAACGCACGGCTTGTAATCCAGAAAGACAACTGGAATGTAAACGTGCAAGTATGGATCTGTGGAGAAGCATCAGGTCACTTCCTGTGAAGATCTGCTGGAGGTGTAACGACATGCCAAAGAGGAGAGGACGTGTTGCACGCTAARCTTTATGGAGCTGCTGCTGGTTCTGGAGGTTAGACTCAGGTTCACAGCAGAAGATTTACTCTCCTGGAATGTGCAAGAACTGAAAAATCACAAGGAAATTTCTCCCCAGCTTTGAAGTTTCTCCAAAGGGGAGGGGGGGCTATTTATACAGCCACCACTTGTTGTCGTGAAAGTGCACGCCCGTGCTGCTGTGTAGATCCCTACTGTACACAAGTGTATAAACACGAGTGGAGCTCACAACACAAGCGTCCTTATCGACAGGAACCCAAAGTTCCTCCGGTGGAAATGTCTTTGTTCCCCCTCCACGGCCACACAATGAGCGCGACTCTCTGGAGTCTGCTGAAGGCGCTGCGAGCGAAGGCCTTACCATCATTCCACACATAGCCAGGCGCTGACCTTGGCAGGAGGCTATTAAAATTGTTTCTCCATCGAAACACGCTACGCTCTGTCATCYCCGCACACAAAAACAGGCAATCGTCTGAAGCAAAACACGTTTAGGAAAAACTGAGCCGAGGGATGTTTGTCTCCTGCATCACCTGCAGACACTCAGGTGATTCTGTAACTCTATGATTCCAGCACATTGAATCAACAGTGTGGTGACTACAGTCAGGTTTTTACAAGTCAAAGTGCTACTTTCACCATAACTTATTAATCAGAAAAATAAAATCAAATAGAAGTCACAATGTTGTAAGATAGTTGACTTTTTAATTAGATTTCTGGTGATAAAAGGGAATCAGACGAAGCAGAAACCATCATGGTNAGTCTGAGCTCTGATCTGTAGGATATTTAAACAGGAAAGGGGAAAAGGGACATTTAAGAGAGAATTTTATCATTTCTACATTTAAAAATAGGTTTAAACCAACAGTTCTTAAATTCTGTTCAGATAAAAAGTTTCTTTTCAAACAAACTGAAACTCGCTCCGTCTCAAACGTAACAACAAAGAGTTGCAGCGCTGGGAGAAAAGYTGCAGTGGTGTCAGTCAGCCAGCAGGGGGCAGTAAAGCTTTACAAACCAATGCCAGCTTTAACCCTGGACTGGAGCTGAAAATTAAAGATGTCAGAGTCCTGATGCGTTTGTTGCACCTGCTGCAGTCTGACATCTGTCTCCTCTGAGCAGCAGCTGTTTTAATGATGCCTCCTGTTTTATTTTTATTTTTAAGGATGGAAAAATAAATCCATAAAAAAATGATGCCTCCTGTTTTATTTTGACATTCTGTTTGAGTAGAACCCATTTCCTTCATTGGGACTTTTTCTACATCTTTGCTTTCTTCTGGAGTCCCTTTCAGTTTCGTTTTATAAGAAAGCCATTAGGTGCATCATCTCCCTCCTAGCTACCATTTGTTGGACGATCAGAACCAGACATGGTCCAACTGCATCAGTTAAAACAGAACATCGTCATGTAAAACTCACCTGTGTTTGATGGTGGAACCCAAACTGCAAATGAAGGAAGCAGCAGAAAGTCTCGGCTCTGGAGTCTCCAGCAGGTCAGAGAGTCCTGAGTCTCCCCCAAGAACACCTCACAGCTGGACATGACTCAACTGGTTCCTCTGGATGTGGAGGAGCTCCTCAGAGCCTGAAKCTCTCATCCTGATAACCTGCAAAAAAATAAAACCTCACATCAACCGCCTGAAAAAAACTTGTTCTTTTGTTCACTATTCAAAGTTTGTGTCCATAACGTGGACATTATAGACACAAACTTCACAAAAACATGATAAAATTTTAAAAAACAAAAGGAAAATTATGTTATTAAGTCAACGATTACACTCAAAACTGGTTGTTCACAGGGAAAAAAAAGTACCATCAGCCTGATGGCTGCTTGTTGTTCACYGGGTCCTACACACAATCTTAGTGTTGTTAGAGGACGACTGGACAAGGAGACCTCCCGCCGTTTAACAACAGACAGGTTTTCTTCACAAAGATGGCTTCCTTTACTCCTCTCTAAACCAACGTTCCTCTTTCAGGGAAGAGAACATCTTCATCCCTGAAAGAGTGACCGCTGGTCTGTAGATGAGTGTAAACTGTAGAGTCCTGGTCTGTAGATGAGTGTAAACT